TATCCTGCCAGGGGTCGCCTGCATCAAGCCAGCGAAACCGCTAACGCCGTTTGCTGAAACAGCGGGCGAAGTTGAGATCCAGGTCGACGCCCAAGGGAACCCGCTCGCGATCCTGGAGATCGACCAGAAACACAACCAGCTCCAGCCAGCCCAGATATCCCTCGCCGACTGTCTCGCCTGTTCAGGGTGCATTACACTGGCGGAGGAAGTGTTGGTGGCTCAGCACTCTCATCAACAAGTCAGAGCGGCGTTGTTCCAGCCGGAAACGGTGTATGTGGCGTCCATCAGCCACCAGGCACGCGCGCTGCTAGCACAAGCATGGCAGTGTTCGGTGGAGGCCGCTGATGCTACGTTGATGGCGTTATTTTCCGAGCAATTGGGATTCACTTACGTCGTCGGCACAGCAGTGGGGCGTAAAGTGCTGCTTGTCTACGAAGCCCAATCTCAAGATACTGCCTCGCCACGTCTCTCGTCAATATGCCCCGGGTGGGTATTGTACGCGGAGAAGACTCATCCTGAAGCTATCGCCCATATGCTGACGGTTAAGTCTGCCCAGCAGATCACGGGAACCATCCTTAAACGAGTGGTATCGAAAGAGAAAGCTATTGATTCAACTAATGTTTACCATCTTACGGTGATGCCGTGCTTTGATAAGAAATTGGAGGCGGCCCGTGCCGATAACGCTGCTGATGTCGACGGCGTCATCACCCCTAAAGAATTGATCATGATGCTTGACGAAATGAATATTAGTGTTAAATTGAGTACTGGTGCTCCTCAATACGATAAATACTCACCACCACAATTTCCTCAATGGTCGTGGACGTCGGATATCGGCTCGGTGCTGGGAGGGTATGCCGTTAATTATCTCCGCGCAAAGCAGGCCGAGCTCGAGCTGGAGCCTAACTATGAACGTGAAAACTTCTCCATCGAACTGATAGAGGGTAAAAACCCCGATGTTTATGAATTGCGACTCATCTATAACGGCGATAAAGTGGCGCTGGCCGCGGTGGTTAACGGCTTCCGCAATATCCAGAACTTGGTGAGAAAATTGAAGGGGCCCAAGAAAGTGAACCCGTTGGCTGCTCGTCGACGGGCTCGTTTAAAGAAGGATGAACCCACTCAGCCGACAGCCGACCCTACCCAATGCGACTACGTGGAAATCATGGCGTGTCCTGCTGGGTGTATCAACGGTGGAGGTCAAGTTCAGGCTCCCGAAGGCACCAGCTCCAAAGAATGGATCGACGAAACCACTCAGCTTTACGGACACATCCCCAAGTTCGATGCGGTGTCCCATGCCAGCGATGTCAAACAATACTTCTCCGACTTTTGCCACGACTACGGCGTGAACGCTGACCAAGTTGTAAATACCAAGTTCACCCCCGTGGAAAAGGAAGAGCCCGCTCTCGGCACCAAGTGGTAGGCGCACAAACGTTTATATAGACTATAAGTATACGACTAATGACCCCTTCTTCATTGGCTTTGTCTTTAAGGATATGAAAGGTGAATGGAACGTTTAAAGCCTTCAAAATGACGACAGTGATGTTGGAATGTCTGACCTTTCCTGCCTCTTCCGACGTTCACTTTTGCTTCGATTCAGTAGTGGAGGTCGTGATCATGACGGACGAAAGGGTTGCAATGTGAAATCTCTTTGTCTCTGATATAAATTTGCTCTCCCAAGACTGACACCCGAGGTTTCCCTTTCCTCTTTTTTGAAGCTCACCTGTCGCTTGATGGTGCAGACTCTCGGATGTGGGGTACGTCTCCTTATCAACCTCCATACGACAGGACACCTTGCCATGATCTTACCCAAATTTGTCGATGTCATCCCTTCGCAATGATGGGTGTTGGAGGCCATCGGATGGATGGGTGGTATTGTCGGTGGTGCACTGGCTCACAACTCTTCGTATTCAAGTACTCGTAGATGAACTTTGAGCACCGAAGATCGTGCTCGCATAAAAGTAACATCATACAAGCGTGGTCCTTAAAGCTGAAAAATGGCTGGAAGCACTCTTTAACGGCAACGTCGAGGACATTATCGTCGTTCAAAGCCATCATGAAGGCGGGCATGAATCCAGACCACAATCGTTAAATTAGACGAGATTGACAATCTAAATCTGCAATGCGCGCTGTGTGCCGGTGGTGCCTACCCCTCATCTGCACATGCCGCACAGTTGACGGGCCCAACGCCACTAGGACCTCATCCCCAGTTCACGAAATTATGGTTGTGGCGCTGCCAACGTGGCGGCAACGAGGTTGTCGTTAGGATTTGCTGTTTCCCAATACCATTGTACAGGGAGCACACAGTTGTCATTTATGTGTTGGGAGACGATCACGAGAACCCTCACTACCAACACCACTTAACGACGACCGCCTGAGTCGTAGGGAGTGCGAGGTTGTTGTTGCAGAGATAAATGGAAACAATAGTCGGTATTTTCCTCCTGCATTTGCCATTAGGTCTATAAGAAGACCGATAGGTGAAAATTTCTCCTCGCCATACCATGTATCCTACGATTATGTCGAGCCGCTCCGAGCGGACCGCCGTCGGACAATCTTTCTTCGACCGAATTAAGGATCTGCTTCCGACTGAACGTGATCGTCAGCAGTTTGATGCGTTTTTGGATCACTTGTTCAACGAAGTGAAGTTCCATGAGACGGTTACTGCCATTATTTTCGATGAAATGATCGACAGTCTCGATGAAATCATCAGACGGGGTCCCGGTAATGGTGAAACCGAAATCAACAAAATCCATGAATTGATTGAAGACAATTTCGACGTCTTGGAACAAGCTGAAATCAGGATGGTCAACGAAAATGCGCCTGATCATGCATTTGCTGAATACTTCAAGGATGATGCCATGCTTACTGAAACACGTGGCAAATTGTGGAATTTAAGAAAAGAAGCCATTGACAATGTCAAATCAATTGTTCATCGCACCGCTAACATCCAATTAGGCGACGGTCAAGCGGTCAACGATGTCTGCAATGACTTTCGGGACAAAATCATCCTCGCAGTCAGCATGTTTGAGCAGAGATTAGCCGACCATGCCGACACCACATTCGAAAACACCAACATCATCAGTGCAGCATTCCCGCCTCGTCATGTCGCGTTCATTTTCAAGACTGCGGCGGGGCCTTCAGCGTGTTGGTTCATGCACAGATATGGTCGTACCATCTCAAACCTGAAAGAGGTGCGCCGTCGAGTGGCTGAATTGTGATTTTCAAGCAGTCAACTACGATATGTTTGCTGAATTGTGTGATCTATAGTGTGTATTGTATTGGGGAAAGCCTTGTAGGAATGCAGAGAATTTGAATTTAATATGCAGAGCGTAGCAGAGTAAGGAAGTTGCAACACCAATGGATTGCTCGCATAAGTGCCATATATATAGAGACACTTCCTCCTTCGATTTTGTTTTCTAACAATTGACCTACGGCGATTCCTATGACTTCTTCGACCGAGCGTATCTTGAACGCCAACTTTTGTGCTGACACTGTTGCCACTTTAAAAGTGTTTGGCCAGTGTAAAACTTCAACGTTTGGCTGAGGTCTTCCACGAATATGAGAGAGTGCTCGTTGATTCTGAGCTAGCGGCTTGGTCAATAAAAGACCCCATTGATGATATCATCAAAGATGCACCATGGATTAAGGCTAAAGACGTGCAATGAGGTAACCAGCAACGCTTGATGCTTCTAAATTCTGGAAGTATGAGATGAAAAGGGTTGTTTGGGACTTCCAATTCAAACTCGCTGACTCAAATGCAAAGCAGACACTTCAGCCTCACAAACTGGTGACTGATGCCAAATTGGTGGCATTGCAAGACCAGTGGATTGCGAGATTCAGGTTTACCTTTTGTTCCTGTGTATCAGTGACGAACACGAACAAAAGGTAAATGGATATTGAATTGGAGAAAAGAGAAACTACCATAAGAAAGGAAACTCAAGCTAAGATAAACCCCTTCATCCACCGGAAACTTAACAACACTCGGATTGAAGCGTACATGTTTTACTCTGGTCATCTCATAATTAAAGTCAAAACCGCTGACGCTTTCACAGTGTCTACAGTCTGCAGATAAAACTAAAAGTTTTGTTTGATTATTGAATGCATTCAAATCCTATCAAACCTAGAAGTTTGTAGAAATAACTCGTAAAGGGACACGAACATGAGGCGTACGATGTTATCAATTCATATCTTCTACGATCAACGTAAAATGCATCATCGAAACTGATCAACAACATTTAGGCTAGTAGCGCTAATTTCATCCACTTGAGTAACATCTAGAGTAACATAAAATGCTTCGAGTTGGCGTGTAAGCGCTCATTCTCGTCATGCTCCAAGATCCCACTTTTTGCATTCATTCATCATGAAGCGAACATCATATTTTTGCAAGTTGCGGATTTAGCTCAGTTGGGAGAGCGCCAGACTGAAGTAAACTTCGGTCGCTGAAATCTGGAGGTCTTGTGTTCGATCCACAAAATTCGCATTCTTTTTTGCATTTTAAACCAGCTAAGCACTCAAGAAGACGCAATGCTTTCACGAGAAATTAATGATAATCAATTGCAAATTCGTCAGTTTTGTCTACACTTCAATTCCAGTAGTTTTTGTTCATTAATTATATAGTTCTCATTAGGGGGTTCGTAACGTCAAAAAAAAGGAGAGACTTAGGCATTGGTGAAGTCGATCTCGCCGTCTCTGGTGCCGTCACAGGCACCCTGGGCGCCACAGTTGCACGCGCTGGCAGAACGCTTGCCGCAGGCACAGGCGTTGGCGGGGGTGGCGTTCTCCACAGTGGCCTTATCGCAGTTGCACTTCATCGCCGGCTGCTTGCCACACGAGCAAGTAGCCTTGGCGGCACAGACACAGGTAGAAGCAGAGCAAGCCATTATGATTGAATTCAATTGAGTTGTAAAGATGATGGAGAAATTGAGAGTGATTAGCCGGTGGCTTTATAGTCGAATGTGGGCTGACCCTTGGCGAGGCGCTGGTGCATGATTCCTCGACCGTCTTTGATGTTCGAGCCAATCACAGCGCGCGCATTTGTCATCAATAGTAAGCAAATGTGTACAGCCAATATTGGGAAGTGCATATAGTCGCTAGGCGACAACAGTGATCGGTGGTGCATATAGTCATTAGGCGACGATTATACCATATTTACGTAAACTCTCTAACCTCTGCGAATGGCCATAAACCGAGCGTATAACTCCGGTCCAAGGCGTTTCTTTAGATCCTCGTCCTCCTCCGCCTCCGCTTGTGGTTGACTAGCCATTGGTGGCGGCTGATTGGCTGGAGGAGGCTGATTGGTAAGAGGAGGCTGAGTAGTCAGTATATGAGCATTTGCTGGCGCCAGCGCCAACAGGGGTTGTTGAGCTGCTCCTTTAGCCACATGAGGAGAGCTTGGGTTATCGAAAAAGCGGATATTTCGATTAGGAGAGCCAATAGAGTACCGCACCGATTTCTGAGGCGAGAGCCGTCCTGACCGCACCAGAGTGAGCTTAACTCTTTGGGGAGAGGGTCTCCGTGGCAGCAGCAGTAATGGTCTTGGTGGTAGGGGCAGTTTGCGGGCGGTGGACCGGTAGTAGCCCTGGCGGCGTACGGTAGTCACCAGGCGTAACGGCGACGTTCTCGTGGCTCGAGGCGTCACCGCAGGGTTAATTGGAGGCTGGGAGGAGGTGAATACCATCGTCTTAGAGCGTGGAGGCGTATAGCGACGCCGTTCAGGCGTACCTCTAACAAATGGGAGTACTTCATCGTCATCATCGTTATCATTAATATTTGCCTCGTGGTGAGTGCCACTGAGACGGGAAGCTGATGGTTGCGTTCGGAGACGTATCAGAGGCATAAGCGATGGTTTCCTCAGTGATTGCAGTGATTGCAGTGGCTGTGGTTGTGGCTGTTGTTGTTGGGCTGGGGAGGTTGGAGGGAGGCCGGCCAGCGACGGTAAGTGCAACGAGTCGTTCTGTTCTGGGGGGACAATCTCGGTTTCAAGCTGGGGCGGCGCTAGAAGCGACAGCGAGTCGTCTCGAGGCGGGGGGCGCCGGTCCATCATCGACTGAGTATACTCGCTTAAACGGGGTCTGGGCGGTGATATCGTCAGCGACACGTCAAACTGAGGCGATCTTAACGGAGATAAGCCGGCACGGTAGCCTGCTCGGAACCCCAGCTCGTAGGCTTCGGGAGCTGTCGGTGCTAGCAGTACTGGCTGGAGATTGCCTACTTGGGAAGCGGGCGGTTTAGGCTGAGGCCGTCGAGGAGTGGCTCTAGTAGGCAGCGACGGAGGCACAGCACGACCTGCCACACGGTTAGGCGAAGAGTATAGGTCGATTGTCAGCTTTTTGGTGGTGGTAGATTGAACCTTTTTCGTCAGTTGCGGCTGGTGTTGGTCCAAATAACGCTCACTGACGGGGTCGAGCTTTGGCTGAGACTCTAAGGTATCGGTATCTTGGTTGTTTTTAGCCTTTAAAGCCGTAGGAGGGGCTGGTTTCGTCGGCAGCGGTGTGCGCTTGCGGTAGATGGGCGCTGCCCCCGTATGGCCTTCAATTGAGTTAAACGAGATACTAGGGTCATCCAGCGGCGTTACCAAAGCGGGGGGGCGTAAATTAGGTCTGGGAGGAGCCGTGGGGTTGGCGGTAGCGGTGGTAACGTCATCTTTAGTGTCGATGATGACATTGGCCAGAGACTCAAACAACCGCTTCCAAAACTCAACGCTATCGCCTATAGCTTCCGTGGTTTGTCCGTATTCACGTATTATCGGGATAATCTCGTCGTTAATGATGTTATTGGCCCTCAGGATGTTGGCGTCGATTTTCATCATTGTCGTGATGATCTGCTGTTCCACTTGATCAAGATGAAGCACACTGTCATCGCTCGTCCGCGGTGGAACAATACTGTACCGTTTTGGCATTGGTTACAGCGTGATTTCTGGAGGGGCGGGCGGGCTTGTTTGTAGTTGTGGTGTAAGCGTAAGTTGAAGATGTGTGTGCGGCTTTGTCACGTGACCGCGTCTGGTGCACCAGACTGTACAGAAATTGATCAAAGCCAATAGCTTTGACCATGTCGACTCCATTTCCAATGCCTTGTGTAATTATGAGTGAAAATGTGACCTATTTAATTAACAACAACAACTTCAAACGATCAAACTAATAATTAGATATTTTCGTATCCATCCCTTAATCCATTTCTCAGTATTTTGAGTATTTGCCATACATCCTGACTAAAATGCTTATCTTACCAGAACCAAAACTCAAGGCACCAAGTTCGACTCTATTAGGTGCTATTACTCTTATGATATCAAATTCAACTCCATACCAACTCCAAATATTATACAAAAATAGTGTTACTCCAAGATCTCCAAGAGTCTTTGAGCATAGTCAATATACACTTGACAGTCAGGACACTCTTCCAACCAGTAGCCAAACACGATGAGGTGGTGCTCCAACAGCATCACCACCAGTTCCCGCAGCACGATCTGCTCAAACAACCGTAACGACGCCTCCTCGTCCTCCAGATCCCTGGCCAACTCTTCAAACTTACGGTACAACAATGTGAGACAGATGGTCAAAATGAACTGGTTACGCAACATAAACCACTGGCTCATGTGGCGGTGGGCCATGAGTTTGGGGATGTGCATCTTGGGTAAAGATATGATGTTCTGGAAGAACACTTTAAGGATCTTGGTACGAGCAGCCACCACGTCACGAAGATGGAGCCCATGCGCCAGCTGGTTATCCTCGGGGTCGTACTCAGCCACGTCGGAGAAGTCCTCGTCCGGGTGGCGTTTCTGGTAGAAGTGCGGCGTCTTCACCGGGTTGCTCATATCGGTATCGTGGAGCCACATGTCCAGGGTGCCGTTGGTGATCGTCAGCTCGGGGCTGTTGTCTTCAGGCGCAGGGTGGGCTGAGCGCACGGCCAGCATTGCTGCCTGGTAGATCTCCTGGATGGGGATGCGGTCGTTGAGGATGAAGTGGACGATGGGGCGGATGAGGAAGAGTTTCGAGGTGACGACGCGCGTCTTGATGTATATCACCTGCTCCGATTGAGCTCTGAGGAGGATATCGTCATCGACTAGGAAATCCTCTAAGGTGTCCACTACTTCAGCGGTGTCCTGGTTGCTGTGTTTAGCAGTGTGTTTCGCTTTCACCCGCTTATAGATGGCGTCGACGTCGAGCTCATAGAGGACAAACTGGCGGATCAGCGGCGAGAGCGAGTTGATGATGCCGTTGTACTGGTCCAGGTACTTGATGAATTGCACCCAGAACTCGTCTCCGTAGAACAGAGGGTGGTCCCACAAGTGTTCGAGGTTATTCTGCTCAAACGAGTAGAGCTCGTCAAACAACCGGTTGTCGACTTTGCGCACGGCAATCTCGGTGAGGAAGTAGTACCACAGGAACTCGTCGTCGTATTTGGCCGCGAGCTGGAGCAGGGCCGGCGAGAACTGCTGGCGGCGTTCTTCCACTGGCGGCGGGATCACGAGGAACAGCAGTGGCGGCGTGATTTGTGTGATCCCCGAGAGAGGCATGAACGGCGATAACTCGACGCGGAGCTCGCATTCAAGCTTAAGGCACAGCCAGAATAACCGGTCCACCCGCTCTTTGGTGATGGCGGGGATATCGTAGATCAGGGGGTCGTTGATGGCGTCAAATTTGACCTTTTTCGTCTGTAAGTAGAACATGATGTTGTGGCAGGCGTCAGTGACGTGCGAGTATGCTTTTAACGGCATCATCGTGTACAACGAGTACACCCCATGAAGCAACAAGTATTCAACGTAACGTAACGTCTTCGGGAACGGGTAGCACATGCACACCATTTTGGCGTATTCCGATAAGAACATCAGCAATTTAAGCCGCAGTCTCGGGATTTCCGGGGGGTACTTTTCAAAATCACCCTCGGAAAGAGCGCCGGGCGCTAGCAGCTCGGCCTCAGCAAGCAGCAGCTCAAACTGGTCCAAATTGTCGAGCAGTACAGGTGTAGAGAGGACTCCGATGGCACACATGATCATTAATAGCGGGATCAGCTTACACATCGTAGTAAAGCCGCGGCGGCGCCAGGGCTCATCGGTAAGGCCATTAGCCTTCAAAGTGTCCAAGTACAATTCGGGGACGGGGATATCCACACTGTGGTCCTCATCATCATTCTCCACATCATAACAGTCCAATAACATACCAAAAGATACCAGATTATCGTACTGGTGGAGCATGGTATAGATATGGATCAGCTCCATCACTTGAGCGGCATCCAAAATGGGGAGCTTAGTGTGGCAATTGATGAAGAAAGAGTTAATCATCGTGGAAAACTTATCCAGGATGATCAGTTCGAGCGAGCGCATACACTTGAGCTTCAATTCGAAGCCAATTTTCGGTACCGGCCGTGGTCGCTGGTACGCATTTATAAGGCCGTTGATCTGGGACTCGGCGTACGCCTGAGGAACACCAATAGCTTGGTTTAAAGCCGGCCACCGGAGCACCAGGGCACACAGCATGTCCCAAAAACAGCGGTCAAAGTGGAACAGCAGCTGCGGCACCGTCGGCGCTACCGTCCCTTTCAACTGGCCCACTTCTTTGATCAACGTGTCCAATTTCGTCAAGATCGTCAACAGCGCCGGGTCGTAGCTCAGGTAGTCCTTCTGGAGGTCGTCGGTGCGGTAGTGGCAGTTGGTGATGCCGTTCTTGACACACAGCCCGCAGCGGGGGCGGACGTTGTCGCATTTGACTTTTTTAAGGCGGCAAGTATCGCAGGCGGTAAGCGCCCGCTTTCTGGGGTAGGTGGCAGCCATCCGCAGCAGCAGCGGCGGTGCCGCCTGGTTGAACAGGCGCTTTTTATCTGGTGGCGGCAGCACTGGCGGCGCCGGGTGCGCTTGTTGGGGCGCTGGCGCCGGCGCGGGATGCGCTTGTTGTTGTTGAGGAACAGGTTGCGGTGGAGGTGGGGGAAACAGCCCCGGGACCATCGCTTGCGGCGCTGGCGGCGGCGCCTGCTGCTTGTAGTAGTAGCCGTTGTACTCCTGTTGCATGTTGGCCATCATCGGACCCAGCGGGGTGCTCCCCAGGGTCAGGGGCAGCGGCTGCTGGGCGCCAGCGGTGGCGCCTGGCGGCGGGGGCGGCGGGGGTATCTGCTGGTTTGGTGGCGGCGCCATATGTTGCTGGGGCGGCTGCGACCCTCCTGGCGGAGCGCCCTGCTGGTAGTAGTAGTTGTAGTAAGACTGGTCCATGGCTGGTGGGAGCGAAGCCGGCGGCACAGTGGGAGTCGCACCGATGTGGGGTGCGGCGCGAGGGGGGCGCGAGGGGCGAGGCGCCCCGATGGCTTAGCAGAGATAAGACTGACGAGAATGTGGAGAAACTAACGAGGACTACTGTAGAGAAAATGACGAGTGTGGTGTTTCAGAGGCTAGGCTTTTGTATGGTGTTATAATGAAGGCGAAAGAGGCGTTGGATTGGGCCAAACTTAGGGGGTTCTCGGGGTCATCGACGCCGATGGATTAGCGCTAGGAGGGTGTAAGGCATGCCCCCGAGTTACGACGCTAATAAACGACACATGGGGCGCAAAGAAAAGAGAGAAAATCAGGTAGAATTATGGGTAGAAAGGGAATATCGGAGGTATAGCTGTCCTCAAGGTATAGCTCTCTCTAAACTGAATTGAGGACTCGTGATGGATATTGGTGATGGTAAATGAAGAGTCTACACTCCCTCAATGGTAGAGGCGGTGTTGAAGTCGGCCACGGGGGTTGCCAGGGGCTGATAAACCACGGGTGAACCTTCACGACAAGTGTCATGTCGGCGACATCGGCGGGAGTAACAAAAAAGGATGGTCCCTAGCGGGATCGAACCGCTGATCTTGGCGTTATTAGCACCACGCCTTAACCAACTGGGCCAAGGGACCTTGCTGGCGGATTAAGCAAGTGGAGGTTTTCGGTTCAGCCGGAAAACAATACAAACCAATCCCAGGCGATTTCGCCCTATTTATTAAGCTCTTTCTGTTGCGGAACGCATTCCAAATCTACTGGTGTGCTTGGATCGCGAAATTTCCATCATTTTCCCCACAATAACCACATTGTTATTTTCAGCCACTCCGAGGCCACCCCTCACCCTCACCCCTCACCACACACCACCAGCCACCACTCCCCACCCAATTGACGAGAAAATCTACTAAATTGACTTACCCACTAAAATTACCATGACAATTTTTCTCACATTACTCAATCTAGTCTCACAAACAAGGACCTCTTGCTGCTCGCATTGGCGGGCTTCTGGTCGTTCCCTGTTGTTAGCGCGCGTTTTCGCAACGCCACCAGTTACCTTCCATCTCGCAAGTCCCATGGAGGCGATTCTCGACTTTTCCCAGGAGCTAGACCTCGAGCTCTTCGACCGAGTGGTGGCGGCGCTCTACTCGCTGGGGGGCTCCCGCCAAGACCAGCAGACGGCGCAGCGCGTCCTCGCCGAGTTCCAGGCCAACCCGGAGCTGTGGAAACGCGCTGACACCATCTTGCTGCTGCTGACCCAGTCCCAGGGCAAGTACATCGCGTTGCTGTGCTTGAACGACTTGATCCAGTACCGCTGGAAAACGATCCTGCCCGAAGAGCGGGTGGGTATCAGAAACTTCATCGTCAATATGATCATCTCGCTCTGCGACAACGACCAGGCGTTCGAGCACGAGCGGGCATTGATTAATAAAATTGACTTGACGCTTGTTTCAGTGTTGAAACAGGAATGGCCCCACAACTGGCCCCAGTTTATTCCCGAGATCGTGTTGCTGCTGCGGTCATCGTTCAACGTGTGTGAGAACAATATGATCATCCTCAAGTTGTTATCGGAAGAAGTGTTTGACTACTCGAGCGACCAGTTGACCCTGGCCAAAGCCACCCAGTTGAAACAGCTGATGAGAGCCGAGTTTGAAGAGATCTTCAAGTTATGTTACGAAGTATTGGACAAGACGCTGAAGCCGCTGTTGGTGATTGCCACCCTCAACTGCTTGAGCCGCTACATCCCCTGGATCCCCAACGACTACATTTTCAAGACCGACTTGCTCACCTACCTCACGGATAAGTTCTTGGCTCCCCCCGACACTCGTGCCGAGGCGCTTAAGTGCTTGACGGAAGTGGCCGCCCTCGACGGGCCCGCCGACGCCACCGAACAATTGTTTGCCCGGGCCATCACCCAGTTGCAACAGATCATCCCCCCTGAAACCAACTTGCGCAGCCTGTACAAGCTGGCGCTGGCCAACGACCAGCTGTTCCTCCAGGACTTGGCGCTCTTCCTCTGCACCTTCCTCTCTAACCACTTGGTGAAGCTTGAAAAGGACACCCTGCAGGAGCTTGTGTTGACGGCGTTGTCGTACCTTTTGGAGCTCTCACGGATTGACGAAAGAGAATTGTTCAAAACGTGTTTGGAGTTCTGGAACGATTTCGTCAAACAGTTGTTTGAAGAAGTGAAGAACTTGCCCCGCCAGAACTTGACTCCCATGATGCAATTGCAATACCCGGGGCTGGCGATGCTGGTGGGTGCCCCTGATCCCGCGGTGCTCGAACGGTTCCCATTGCGCCAGCACAAGTACAAGCAGATCTTGCTGAAGCTCCGGTGGGTGGTGATTGAGCTGATGGTGCGTCCCGAGGAAGTGTTGGTGGTGGAAAACGACGAAGGGGAAATTGTCCGTGAGTTTGTTAAGGAAACCGATACTATCCAGTTGTACGAGACCCAGCGCCAGGTGCTCGTGTACCTCACCCACTTGAACGTCGTCGACACCGAGGAGATCATGAACACCAAGCTTGCCCGTCAGATCGACGAGCTGGAATGGCTGTGGAACAACATTAATACCTTGTGCTGGGCGATCGGGCTGATCTCGGGGACGATGAACGAGGACATGGAAAAGCGGTTCCTCGTCACCGTGATTAGAGACCTCTTGCAGCTCACTGACCAGAAGCGCGGCAAGAACAACAAGGCGGTGGTGGCGCTGAACATCATGTACATTGTCGGCCAGTACCCCCGGTTCCTTAAGGCTCACTGGAAGTTCCTCAAGACGGTGGTGAACAAGTTATTTGAATTCATGCACGAAACCCACGAAGGGGTCCAGGACATGGCCTGCGACACCTACTTGACCATCGCCCAGAAGTGCAAGCGCCACTTCGTCGTCACCCAGCAGAACGAAGTGGAGCCGTTTATCGTCGATATCACTCGCCACATCCCCCGGATCACCGAAGATCTTCAACCGCAACAGGTGCACACGTTCTACGAGGCGTGCGGGGTGATCATCCTGGCGGAACTGAACAAGACCCAGCGCGACCAGTTGCTTGCCGGGCTCATGGAGATCCCCAATATGGCGTGGAACGAGATCACGGCGACGGCAATGCGGGAACCGCTGCTTTTGGACGACACCGACAGCGTCAAGGTGATTGCCAACATCTTAAAGACTAATGTCGCCGTGTGCAAAGCTTTGGGCCCCGGCTTCTACCCGCAGTTGGGTAAGCTCTACATCGACATGTTGCTGTTGTACCGAGCCGTGTCGGGGATGATTTCCCAGGCCGTTGCCGCTGACCCCGTGGTGGCTCCTAAGACCCCCAAGGTGAGACTGTTGCGTACCATCAAGAAGGAGATCCTTAAATTGGTGGAGCTGTTCATCTCGCAAGCCGATAACTTACAGGAAGTCGTCGACAATATCGTCCCCGGGGTGCTTGAGGCGGTGCTTGTTGACTACCAGCTGAACGTGCCCGACGCCCGTGACGCCGAAGTGTTGGCGTGTCTGACGACGATCGTCGACAAGTGCGGCCACATGATCGCTGGCCTGGTGGTGGGGATCTTGCAGCACGTGTTTGAGTGCACGTTGGACATGATCAACAAGAACTTTGTCGACTACCCCGAGCACAGACGCGAGTTCTACCGCCTTTTGCGCGAGATCAACTTGAAGCTGTTCTCGTCGTTGCTCCAGTTGGATGAGCTGGCGTTCTCGTTGGTGATCCAGGCGACGCTCTGGGCGTTCAAGCACAACAACCGTGACGTCGAGGAGAACGGGTTGGCGTTGGCGCTTCGTCTCTTGAACAACGTCGAAGAGTTGGGCGACACTCCGTTCACCCAACAATTCTACGCCAACTACTACTTCACCATCTTGTCCGAGGTGTTGTTCGTCGTCACCCAGCCTGACCACAAGCTGGGCTTCCGCTACCAGCTGCAGTTGTTGGCGCAGATGGTCCACTTGGTTGAAGACAACGTCATCAAGCAGCCGTTGGCCGAGGACAAGAGCGTGCTGAACCTGCAGTACACCCAGCAGTTCTTGGCGAACACGTTGCTGGAGGCGTTCTCCAACTTGAACCGCGAGCAGATCGTCCAGTTCATCACGGCGTTGACGCAAACTTACTCGAACTTGAACAAGTTCAAGCTGGTGCTTAAGGACTTTTTGATCCAGATTAAAACGGTGGGCGGCGACGTCGAGGCCTACGTGTTTGCCGAGGAGTTGGAAGAAGCGCGCAAGCTCCAATTGAGAGAACAGCGGGCGCTCGACTCCCAGGTGGGTGGATTGATCCGCCCCAAGGACCTTGACGACGACGAGTAAATTCACGTCGTTGTTTCAACTTAACCAAAAAGAAATGCATAGTGATTGTCTGAGAATAAATGACACTAAATGAATCATGTAGCGACTGAGTGTAATTGACTCAGATTTATATATCTATGAAGAACTCCAATTTCTACAATCATCGTTCTTCACTATCTTATAGCATAATAAGAGCTATCTCTCGCGTCAATAACAGCCGTGGGAGTTGGAGTTTGGCCTCTCTATCATTTAGATCTACTGCTTCACATTCTCTCATTCTACATCATCTGTTGACTACTACTTACCCTAGGATTTTGATATAATGTTTTCATTTTGTCAAGTTGTATTTCTAAGGGCCTTCAATAATTTACCCTAACACACAAATAATTTATCCTAACATTCTAAAAATGTATCCTAACACTTAAAGAATTTACTCGAGCACACAAAGAATTTACCCTAAAAGACTTTACCCGACTACACACAAACAGACGCTCACTGCGAAGAATTACGCCTGGTAGTTGAAATGGAAGGCTGTAGTTAGTGCTTAACCAATTTGTATCCGTACGTCCATCCTAGTCGCTCAGTGTCGGCGTTTCCCCCCGATCGTGAATGAAATATGCCAATTTGGGCTATGGCCATCAAACAAGCATCACTGTTCTCGTTGTTCGTTAATTGTGCTATACTATATACAGATTAGGCGGAGTAGTACACCTTTCTCAAGTCGACGATCTTCTTGCCGCGGCCGGCGGCCAAGTCCTCGATGCGTCTCTGCTTGGTCAACGCCTCGACAAACCCTTGGCACACCAACACGGGGTTTCTCAGCTTGTAGATCTTGCCCCGCAAGTCCTTGATCCCCGCCGCCTGGCAGATCTCAAAGATGTTGGGGTTGACACGCAACCCGAACCCGACGGGGGCCAGCTTGATGAACATCTTCACCGCGTGGTACTTGTACTCGATCTCCCCCAAGATGGTCCGGTTGTCGTAGCGGGGGATCGGGGTCAAGTTCTTCACCGCGTTCCAGTGGGCCTTGCGGGCGGCGACCCGCACCCCTTCTCTCAGCTTGCCGATGCCGAGCCCCACGGTACCGTTGCCGTCACCGACGACGGTCAACACAAAGAAACTGGCAATCTTACCCTTCCCCGTCTGGCACGACACCCGCTTCATGATGATGGGGCGCACGTACAACTTCTCGATGTAGCGGGCGTCCAACCCCGTGAGCTTGGCCAAGTCGGCGGCCATCTCTCTGGTGGTGGGGTTCCCCTGGCGCTTGCCCTTGGCCTTAGCCTGAGGGAAACGGAGCACCAAGTCGGTACGGTCGGGACCCTGGATCTGAGGGATCTGGGGGTAGGGAGTGCGCCCAACCCCTTGGTTAGGGTAGACGATGGGTTCTTCCCACTTGGGATCCAGCTTGGAGTAGTCGCTGTCGAGGTCAGTGACGCCGATCTTCAGCTTGCCCCGGAACCCCCGCTTTTTCATCGCCATGACGTCGGCGGGCGAGATCGCGGTCTCGGCGACCTTGATCAGCTGGAGAAGCTCGGGCGTGTAGAACTTCTGGAGAAACTCGAGATGCTGGGCCTGCTTCAGCTGGTTGAGCAGGCGGGCGCTGCCCGCCAACCCCCGGGCCGGGGTGAAGAGGGACACCACGGAGCGGAACATTCGATGATAAATTTTTCGTGCGCGATGGTAGTTATGTGCGAGTGGTTGTCTGATGGTGAGAGGGTCTGGTGATTATTGGAAAAGTGGAATTGATGATGCTTACTTGACTTGTGGATTCTATTTCTATTTGTTTTAGTTTCCATTTTTCATTTTTGTGACGTTGCCAGTACTTGGACGTTCGCGATCATCTTATTCGTGAGAGGAAGAAGTGCACAGTAATGTTGATGTAAAACCTGAATACATCAAATGATGCGTGATTGGAATAACTTGTGGGTCAACCAGTTAGTTCTTGGTAATAAAGGATCGGAGGTCGTTAATTAAATTGCGGTTCTTTGTGGAACTGAGGCAAAGGCTACGAAGACACGAACCAGTGGTACCAACTACATAAGGGTAATATGAATTTTGGAACATTCAATCTAGGTTCCATGATTTATGACGATATCGAAATCCCACCTCAGTACCTTATGATCACCGCAATCGTCGGATACTCCTACCTTGCGGGAATACCATCCCAAACGGGGCTAACTGAATACACCAGCATGCTCGTCCGACCCCGCCTGATGGCTGTGACCTTGATGTGCCTCGTGTTTATCCGTGGTGGCCCGTAAAGACTTCAATTACGACCTCTTTTCCTTTATTAAGTAAAAGACAAACCACCTTTTTACCCACTACGCTTGTCGCCAATGGCTCGCATATTCACGCATTGTTTCCCCGTAGCATTCAGAAGACAATGACGTCGGCAATTTACCCCGATATTGTTACCTTTTCCGCGTCTAGCGAAGCCCAGCACGCATTGGGACAGTCGCCCTTATCGGTCGCGATCATGTGCGAATTTACACTGCCAGAGAAAACTGCGAACACTGCTGCACCGATGTTTATTCCAGGAGAGGTAGAGCGCGAGTACACCCTGAGGTAAAACTATCGCTAACAGCACTATCAGCGTTTCAGGGACATAATGTCGCCCGCTTTGTCTAGATCTTTCTATCTGGACTCAAAGACCCTCGCTTGCTCCACGTTGGCTTGGAATTCGGCATAGGATCTTGACCGGTGGACATTGCCTATTCAGGTAAAGTTCTAGTTCGAGACCCGGTGCGGTTCACCAGGTGTTACTCGGTGGTGCCTACGGAAAAGAAACCGCTCTGTAATTACCACCGTGGGGAGTTCTCCCAGTGATGTCATTTATCCCCAAATATTGGTGGGTACCCTCGGAGTACCTCATCAGAGAGATCACCAGAGCCGGCAATAAAACCAGGTGGGGTCGGAAACTAGGTTCGTCAGCCTTTGTGACAAAGCACCCGTCCAAAATTCCGTAAACTGTCAACATCAGCGATAAATCGTTTATTTCAAATATGCTTTTGATTTGTCGGTGGATCTGTGTCGCTGTGTTTTGTCATGGTGGCCACTCCCCCTAACCGTCCCTGGATCAACCATCGTGCGCCCGCTTTGTGCGTTTGAGTGAAAAAAAAACCGGTATGCTGCTTTGGCAGGTGGTTTGCGACCCGTACCTTATCCGGGCTATCGTGTTGTTCCCGTAATAGGAAGTACCCCTGCGTGGGCGTAATTCGCACCCATGTAAAGCGAGGGTCAACGGGTACAAGTATAAAAGCAGTGGCGGGGCCCCGGAGCCAAGGCCAGTCAACCTCCATACCCCCAACACGATGAAGACGGCCAACCTCTTGTCCTTCTTTTTCGCCATGGTGGCGGTGTCGGCGACGTTGGGCTGGATCTCCGAGATCGGGTCGCTGATCACCTGCTTCCTCTTTAAGACCAACTGTCCCTCCACTGGCGGCGGCGGTAACGGCTCTCCGGCTCCGTCCAACCCCAACCCCACCTCCCCGGCCCCTACTTCCGACTTGGAGTGTGACGAGGAGTCCACCAGCCAGGCGCCGGCTCCCAAGCCCACCGAGTCGAACCCGCCTCTGCCCGGTACCACCCTTCTGACCAGTCAGGCTCCTCCGCAACCGACGTCGTCTCAGCCGCCTCAACCGACTTCAGCTCAACCGCCTCAACCGACTTCAGCTCAACCGCCTCAACCGACTTCAGCTCAACCGCCTCAGCCGTCGCCCAGCGACGAATGGGAATGTGATGAAGAAGACTCTGGTTCCGGCAGTTCCGGCTCCGGTAATGGTTCCGGCAGCGGTTCCGGCAGCGGTTCTGGCAGCGGTTCTGGCAGCTCTTCTCCTGACGGGTTGAAGAAGGACAACTGGTGGACGCCCATCACCAACTTCTTCAACAGTATCTTTGGCAAGCGCGACGTGGTTGAGTCTCCGGTAGACCTCCACGCGCGCAGTGGTGCCGGGAGTAACGTGGTGGCCCTGGGCGCGGTGGCACTTGCCGGGCTTGCGTTGTTGATGTGAATGGGGTTTTTTCCGTTTGGTTTTGTTTGAATTTCTTACCAGTATTATCTACGTACCAATAGATTGCATTATGATAACATTCAGTAGAAAGAAGCCGTAACGCTTAAAACTCACAATATCCCTCGATTCGACTACAAAAATCAAAGTATAAATCGGTTTTAGTCCATGATTGCGTTCCTATTACTCTCAGCATTCCCCCTCTGATTATAACTGTGATTTCAGTGGTTCGATGGTCGCAGTGGTGGCAAAATCCTACACATAACCGGCGCCCCTTATAAAGTGCACACCTAATCCTTTAGGAGACCGCCACCATGTCCGAGACCTTAGCCGCCAACCCGTTGCTTCAAAACCTTGAGATCGAGGGCATCCCGTGGTTGGACATCCACAAGTACACCGAGGCGATCGTGGTGCCGCCTTATCAAAGCTGCAACCGCGACTGGTGGTGCCGGTCGAACTTCCACGTCGCCGTCGCCGCCGACTACTTGAAGCAGAGCGACGCGTTCAAGTACGCGTTGTCCCACCGGTGTCCCGGCTACTTCCCCAACCCCAAGGTCAAGGGCACTGCCGTCGAGTTCGTTAGCTAGTAAGTACGGCCATTTTTAGGGAGTATACGCCAGAGATTAACCGCTAGCACCTCATGGAAGCTGTGGAAGCTCTGAGAAAGCTCAGACAGGACGCTTGGGAGCTTATGAATGCTAAACTTTAGTTCTATAGAATTTATAGTTACACACGAGCTTTGTTAGCAAACTGCTGCAAAATGACACCAGAAGATTATAGTAATAATGATACTTATGCCATATCTGTGGTCGTGCCATATTTGTGGTTGCGTCATAATTGTGGTGAACGGAGTTAGTCGTTGGCTGCTTGTCTTAGCGTATCCAATCCTACTCTTGAAAAAAGTACTCCAGAGACTTGAAACTCCTCCCTTTTAGTTTTGTTTCTCTTACAATTGCTTCAATAAAGGTTATCGTATTATACCAGATATATACCGACTACCAAGTGCGAGTACTGGTAGTGCACGTCGGCGAAATGAAAAAATAGGGTGACGTAAGAAAGAGAATAGAGAAAAGAGTGGGGGTAGAGACGAAATATGAGGCAAGATTTCGTCACGTGAGTAAGCAGCAGGTGGTCCGCTTACAACACAAGCGCCCCGGCAATCATCATCACCACCGCCAGGAGACGGGGGATGGTGACGGCAGCAGCGCCTTCGAACGCAGGGGCCACAGGGGGCTGCGACTCGCCGGCAACAGGAGGTTGCGACTGGCCAGCCACGGGCGGCTTGGTGGCGCTGGGCGCGGGCGAGTTGATCACGGTGGTGGGCTGGTTCTCAGGCTGGGCGGGCGGTTGTTGTTCGCCAGGCGATACCGGCTGAGGAGGTTGTTTGCCGGGTTGTTCGCCAGGGGTTTCAGGTTGCGCAGGGGGCTGTTGTTCACCAGGAGAAACAGGTTGCGCAGGGGGTTGCTCACCAGTAGCACCCGGCGCAGGGGGTTGTTGACCGGTAGCTTCAGGCGCAGGAGGTTGTTGTTCACCAGGAGCAGCGGGCAGAGCGGGAGGTTGCTGTTCAGGTTGAGCAGGCTTCTCGGGTTGAGCGGGCTGACCAGGCTTCTCGGGCTGACCAGGTTGACCAGGTTGAGTGGGCTGAGCAGGCGTTTCAGATTGAGGCTGAGCAGGATTTTCCGGTTGACCAGGCGAAGCAGGCTTCTCAGGTTGACCAGGTTGAGCGGGAGCTTCAGGTTGACCGGGTTGACCAGGTTGAGCGGGAGCTTCAGGTTGACCGGGTTGACCAGGTTGAGCAGGAGTTTCAGGTTGACCGGGTTGACCAGGCTGAGCGGGAGCTTCAGGTTGCTTGGGGGTTTCAGGTTGACCAGGCTGAGTAGGTTGAGCAGGGTTCTCAGGCTGAGTCGGTTGAGCAGGGTTCTCAGGCTGACCAGGTTGACCAGGTTGACCGGGTTGAGCAGGAGTTTCAGGTTGCTTGGGGGTTTCAGGCTGACCAGGAGTTTCAGGTTGCTTAGGAGTTTCAGGTTGTTCAGGCTGTTCAGGTTGTTCAGGCTGTTCAGGCTGTTCAGGTTGTTCAGGTTGTTCAGGTTGTTCAGGTTGTTCAGGCTGTTCAGGCTGTTCAGGTTGTTCAGGCTGTTGAGGTTGTTCAGGTTGTTCAGGTTGTTCAGGTTGTTCAGGCTGTTCAGGCTGTTCAGGTTGTTCAGGGTGCTCAGGCTGTTCCGGCTTAGCAGGGGGCTGAGTGGGTTGAGGAGGCACCACTTCGGTGTGTACAATCGGCGTCGTTTCAGGCACCCATTGAGTGGACACTTCCGGCTTGCAAACGTTGGTGTCGTGGCACGTGATTGTGGTCGTCACCGGCTTCTTTTCATACGTGTACACGGTTTCAACTCCGCCCTCAGTAGTGGGGACGACGTCGCAAGGCACGACGACGGTAACGGTTTCATGAGCGCACTGTTCGCAAGACTTAGTGATGGTGATCTTGGAAATAGTGGTTTCATAAGTGGTTTCAACAGGAGGCTGAGTAGTCGATTGAGTTTCAGATTCCGAAGTCGATGAAGTCGATTCAACCGACGATTCAGGAGCAGGCCCGGTTTCCGAAGACGACGACGATTCAGGCACGCTTTCCGAGGTGGTGGCCGATTCGGAGGTCGACTCAGTTTGAGTGGTGGCTTCAACGGAAGTTTCAGGAGACAGCGACGGCTGAGTGGTTTCAGCCGAGGTCTCAGGAGCCGACGAGGGTTGAGTGGTTTCAGCCGAGGTCTCAGGAGCCGACGAGGGTTGAGTGGTTTCAGCGGTCAGCGACGGTTGAGTGGTTTCAGAAGCCGACGAAGGTTGAGTGGTTTCAGGAGCCGACGAAGGTTGAGTGGTTTCAGCGGTCAGCGACGGTTGAGTGGTTTCAGGAGCCGACGAAGGTTGAGTGGTTTCAGGAGCCGACGAAGGTTGAGTGGTTTCAGGAGCCGACGAAGGTTGAGTGGTTTCAACGGTCGACGACGGTTGAGTGGTAGCCTCGGTAGTAGACACTTCCACAGGAGGTTGAGGGACAGGGCGGGTCTTGGTGGTGGTGGGTTTGGGGGGAGGAGGCACCAGCGATGTCGTTTCAGGTTGAGGCGGCTTGGTAGTTGTTTCAGGAGTCGGCTTCGGCTGAGTGGTTTCACTGGTGGTTTCAGGAGGCGGCACCTTCAGGGTCGTCTCACAGTCCGTTTCAGGTTGAGGCGGCTTGGTGGTCGTTTCACAGTCCGTTTCAGGAGTCGGCTTGGGTTGAGTGGTTTGCTTAGTCGTCGACTGTTCCACCGGAGGCTGAGGCACAGGACGAGTGGAGGTGGTGGTGGGCTTGGGAGGAGGCGGCACATTCGAGGTTGTTTCACAATCCGTTTCAGGTTTAGGCGGCTTGTCATCCTCACAGTCAGTGGTCTCGGGCTTGTGCTCAGTGGTAGGAGTCGTAGTGTCACAGTCCTCTTCCGGCTTCGTGGGCTTCGGGGGAGGCGGCGGGGCGGTGGTGGTTTCATCGTCGCAGTCCTCAGGCTTCTTTACAGGGGGCTGAGGGGTAGGCCACTCGCAGTCTT